GGAAATAAAATCCTCAACCGTCATGTGGAGTGAAAACAGCCGTGAGGAAAACTGATGTTTATTTGAGTGAACATGTGTGAAACAGCGTGAGGAATCAGTGTGGGACGCCGACAGCTGCCTGTCACTGCAAACCCCCAGCACCCCCCAAGGACCCCCCCTCTGAGGCGGCGTCCGGCTGCCGTGGAACAAACTCACCCACTCTGATCCCTCTGAGTGGGTCCACAGCTGAGCCCCTCTTCCTAAAGTCTGGATTCAGTTTCTGCTTCCTTCTGCAAAAGCTTAGAAGCTGATGACGTTTTAAGATCTGCTGCAGCTCAGATTAGGGAGGATTAGGCACCAAGTTGTGTAGATTTTAGGATTATTATTATCTAAGCAGTTAGGAACTAAGAGTAAATACTCTGCAGACGGAACCATCTGTTCAGCCTGGCCGCTCCGTCAGGCTTCAGCACGCTGCAGGAAACATTTCCACATCTTTACGCTTGTTTCTGTTCCACTTCTAAAAACTTCTGATATTTAGAAGGTTTAACTTTCATTAAACATTAATTAAAGTTCCTGAAATTTATGAACACCGTAATAAAGGAGGACTTCAGATTTGAGATATTTAGAGGCACAGTTTGATGACTCTGATGCTCCATCAGGAAGTGTTATCAGGACCAACATGATGCATCCTGGGAAATGACTTCCAATGATTTATGGTCGTCAACATTTAATCAAATAACTTTTGATTCATGCTGTAACCGCCGGTGCTCCACGGAGCTAACTGAGAACTAGCATGGCTACAGACAGGGCTGCTGCTCTCATTAAAGCCCCAGGAACTAATTAATACCAAAAATAATTGGGATTATTAGATTATGTGGCTAAATGAGGGATTATGATGAAGGTTCCACTGAGAGTTTAGCATAAAACCAACATGTTTCAGCTAGTTGTGATTGACAGGTTTGTATTTCACCTTCTTTAGGTCTAGAAAGGTTTGAGTTGGTGTTTAGCAGACTGGGTGGGACTTTATTAATCTAATGAATGTAAAACAATTAATCAGATTAATCAGTGATTGAAATGGCATTTCCTTCGTTACACGTCCTCGGAAAAATTGAAGAAAAGAGATTTTTGAATGACTTGATTACTGAATCAACTAATTCAGTAATTCGTTAAGGAATAAGAGTTTAAGGTCCACTATAACGGGTTCCCACTTTAAGCCGCTCTGACAACCAGGATAAATGGAGATAAGTCAGGAAACTGGCAGATTGCAGTAAACGTTGGGCTGAAACAATCTGATTAATAAATTATTCAGCTAATTCAGTAATCAATTAATGGTTAACTGACTGTAAAACCTGCCTTTAGCTGACAGAGCGACCCACTTAAAGCAGGAGTTATACCATGATTGTAACAAAATATATAAACATTTTGCATTTAGGATTAATAAAAATTCCTCCTGTCAATCTGCTCTATCTAGAACTCCTCAGGTGGAAAAAACTTTGTTTCACTTGGTTTCATTTTTGTAAGAAACCTTCTTTAAGGACCCTTTGTATCTGATTATTAATCAATTAATAAAAAAAAAAAATTGACAGATTAATCAATTTCCAAAAATAATCTTTGGTTGCAGCCATAGATGAATGTCCCGTATTTGTTTGCTTCCCTCTGCAGCTGAGCTGCAGTGCTCAGCATGGGGGTTCATCATGAGGTCTGATGTGTTCAGACCTCATCTAGGACCTTCAATCATCCTATTTTCTCCTTTTAGAGAAACATTTGGTTTCTAGACGTTGAAAGAAAGTGAGCGTCACGCTTAAAGCGGATTTCCCTCCCTGAAAGTGACACTTCTAGTCTGGAATGCTCTGGAAATCTGACATGCAGCCCGTGTCTATTTTTGCCTTCCTCTTAGCGTGCCAGCATCTTCCTCAGTTCTGGCATCAGTGTCTTTAGACAACGTGTCTCCTAAAGCTGCCGGGTCGTTATTTGAACAGAAGGACTTTATATTTGGGATGTATCATGATGGATCAGAGCTTGTTAGAGAGCAGTGCGCGCTGAAAAGCCTGCAGCTCCCGTACGTAAATCACTCCACCAGTGACACGCAGACATTGTTTGCTGATTCCTGTCATGTATATTTCAGCACCTCTGTTAGGATCTATATCCCCCATTCGGTCCCCAGAGCGGATGCTAATGTTGCTGGCTGCCCTAAATCTGCGGCTCAGCGTCGTGCCGAGTGCGCCCATTATTGCTAATTATTTATTGCAGCCTGAGGCGACGCGCCAGCCTGCCTCCTCCAATCAGACATTGTTTCTCTGCAGACGGAGAACCAAACGCTGCATGCTGATTCCACTCCGGCTGTGCATCAGGGAGACAGAAATGTTCAAATGTTGTTTTTTGTTTTTGTGGCTGAGTGTTTGGGGGGTTATAAGCCTGGAGATGCGTACATAAGGAACGACTATTACGCTGCATTTCTTTAATATTTCAGTCCTTGCATCAGGCTGAGCAGGAAGCTGTCGCTGGGTTTTTATCCAGGGAGTGAAGGCCAACTCTTCCATCACCTTCTCATGTTCACATAAAACCCACAGGGAGGGGGGGTGGTGGCTGCTGACCTTTAGGGTCAACAGGGAACTGCCTTTTTGACCCTCGGCAGCTCAGCTAAGACCCCCCTCTAAGCTGCTGACGCCTGAATCCCCTTCTGCTGAGCTCAGGATGGAAGCAGCCCCCCAGCTTGGCTCATAAAACCTGTTGGAGAAAGTCTTTCTTTACTTTAGGACTGCAACTAACCATTATTTAGCAAATCGATTAATCTGTTGATTATTTCCTGGATTAATCGATTAATAATCAGATAGGCAAAGGATAAACAAACTTTTTCACCTGATGAGTTCTGGATGGAACACAAAAACCTTTTTTTTTATCTTAACTGCAAAATGTTTATATATTTTTTTACAATTTTGGTATAATTCCTGCTCTAAGTGGATCACTCTGTCAGCTAAAGGCAGGTTTTACAGTCTATATACTCCAATTAATTGATGGCTGAATTAGTTGTTGATTATTTCAATAATGGGTTAATCATGATTCATTGTTTCAGCCCAACGTTTACTGCAATCTGCCAGTTTCCTCACTTATCTCCATCCTTCTTGTCAGAGTGGCTTAAAGTGGGAACCCGTTATAGTGGACCTTAATTCCATCTGTTAGATTTCCCACAGACCTTGAAGAAAAATCATTAAAACTACATTTAAAAAAGAACATTTGTGAGTCAGTCTGAGTATCAGTCATCAGTCACTACAGCGGTCGGACGGAGGAGGTTGGACTGAGGCTTTTAGAGCGAGGAGGTTGGACTGAGGAGGTTGGACTGAGGAGGTTGGACTGAGGAGGTTGGACTGAGGAGGTTGGACCGAGGGGGTTGGACTGAGGAGGGTGGACTGAGG